CGATGATTGGGGAGGGCACGCGCGAGAGCACGAGACCCTTCCCGAGGGCCGCACTGCCACAGGAATGCAGACGGCACGGGTCGCGGCACGCAGGACACGAGGGCCCCCTGGATCTGGCAGGGCCGGCCTGCTGATCAACCTCGCCTGCAAGCCAAAGTTCACGACCAGTGTTGTGCTGCCCCCATCGCACGTGAGGACTACATGTATGTCGGGCGTGTCCCCCTACAGGGGATTTTCGACGAAAAATAAAAAATGCACAAAAATACGCCAAAAATGTAAAAAATATTCAAAAAAATAATCCCCAGACTATGTTTGGACAATTTTTTTGATTATTTCTGGGGTATTTTTATTATTCGTCGAAAATCGCCCTGTAGGGGGACAGGCCCGACTTAAGACTACATCCCGGCACTCCTGTCGAGCGCCCAGAGAAGTACCGAAGCAGTGGCTGCCCGGCACGCTGGCGAGGTGTCGACCGAGCACCGCCGCCCAGGACCAGACACGTGGGAGCCCTCCAGTCTCGGTGCTTCCTTGGTGCTCGCAGCTCCTTCTGGCGGCCAAGGCCAAAGCAGGCTGGAACATCGTAAGACCAGCGTTTCAGGGACTCTGCGTGCGCTCTGGGCACACTGTGCCTCTGAACGGTGCCAGGACTGCGCCTGCCTCCTCCCTATTCATCGTACTCCATCCTCCGCCAGAGATCCTCCCCTCCCTCCTGACCTCCCCCCCCCCCTCTCCTCCTCTTGTTCCGCCTCGGAGGAAGGAGGAGGGAGGATGGACGATGGAGGAGGCGGGAGGCAGGAGGGCAGGGGGAAGAACAGGGTGAGGAGGAGGAGGAGGAGGAGGAGGAGGAGGAGGAGGAGGAAGAGCAGTGAGACTTCCAGTGCTCCCAGTGTCGATCCTCTGCTCAGGATGCTCCCGATGTCAGGTCGGCGCAGGAAGACTCAAGCCCCCCCCCCCCCCACCACCTTCAGAGGATGCAGTATTCTGCGCAGGAGCCCTGAGCTACATTCACGCCTGCCGCACGCTCTGCAGCGGGACCACACGCTACGCTACTCGTGGGCTAGAGGAAGGAAAACGATGAGCAGGAGGAAACCGAGGCAGAGAGGAGAAACAACGCCAAACACCGCCAAGGAGAAGATGCACAAACACATGGCCATCGCAGGCAGCCTCTGAGTGGCGACTGCGGGCCGCCGGGAAGAATGTGATGAGAGGAGGGCGAGGAGGACGAGGAGGACGACCCAGACATCCCCCGACCTGATCTCTCCCATCCGCGGCCCCAGAGGCCCCGACCCCGTCCCTGGAGACATGTTTCGCCCCGGGTCCACTTTGGAGAGCCCCGGGGCCCCTTGCAAGGGGCCCCCCAGAGGCCGAGCAGGCAGAAAAGCGACCAGGCGGGAACAAGCTCGCAACACTCCGAAACCTGAGGACTTGCTGGGAGCAGGGAAGGCGGCGGCGTCGGTGGCGGCGGTGGCGGCGGCCGTCGTCATCGTCGTCGTCGTCGTCGGCGTCGGCGTCGGCGTCGGCGTCGTCGTCGTCGTCTGCGGCGGCGGCGGCGGTGGCAGCGGCGGATCCTGGTTGCTGCATGCCGGGCAAGCGGGGGGCAGCGCGGGGTCTTCCCGCGCGAGCGGCGGCAGGAACTCCTGCGACGGCGGCCGCGCCCAAGCTCCTTCTCCTCCTCCTCCTCCTCCTCCTCCTCCTCCTCCTCCCTTCTTGCTCCTGCGTGCCGGAGGCCTGCCCTGTCTCACCTATCGGCGCGGCTCCCGCCACGAGCGGCCGCCCGGACAGGAGACGCCAGTCCTCCCCGGCCGAGGGAGGCTTGCTTGCGCGCAGCTCCGGGTCGCCCCGTCCCCCTGGGCGATGCACCGCTGCGGGCGAGGGAAGTCTTCTGGACACCCTGCTCAGGGGTTCCCCCGAGATCTCCTTGTGAACCTTTTCTCATTCGGCGTTTTGACAATTGGGCGGACGGGGGGGGGCTGGCTCCGGACCTCTGCTTAGCGCGACTGTTGGCAACAGTGCGTTCGATTGGGGAGGCTCCACCTGCTTGAAACAGGCGCAGACAACAGCCAAGATCTACTCCATGGGTGGGGGGGGAGGGGGTGCCAGGGCCCGCGCCGATCGGCACAACAACGATAAGAAAACGATCACATGGGGCCACGTGGGTCTCTGGAGGTCGCTCCAGGGGCCTCCGGGGGGTCCGAGAGAGCCAGAGCCGTTCTCAAACCTAGATCTTCGACTCCCCCGTCCTCCTCCTTCTGGGGGTCGCAGTCGGCTCTTGCCCTCCCACTTGCCGTTTCGAGATTTCAAAGCTCCGAGAGCCTGGCACGATGGAAGCCTCGAGATCCGGCGCGGCAGCTCCCCCCTGCCTCACCCCCTCCTCCGTCCTCCTCCTCCTCCCTGGCCCTCCTCCCTGGTCGTCCCCATCCTCCTCCTTGGAGATCGACGTTCGATGACCAAGTCTGTTTGACGTGTTTGCCTCTTCGAGAAGACGCGCCGAGTTCGGGTTCGGGAACTAGACTGGCAATTGGAAAAGACTAGCTGCACAATCTGTCAAATAACATTGACTACACCAACGCATAAGCAATCAGCACAGTCGAGCGAGGGGGATGCGAGATCGCCGACGCAAAGCTTTAAGTCCAATTGACCCGGGCCTCCCGAGGCCTCCAGGGGCCCCCCCTCGTCCAGGGAGCACCCGAAGCAGCCACGGCGTGGCGCCAGAAGCGTTTTGTTCTCTCACGCCCAGGGAGAGCGCCGCGCCGCGCCTTACGAGAGGCTCCTGGACCCGGTGCGCGCGCAGCAGGGCAGGAGTTGGAGGCCTGGAAATTGGCACCAACACCAGCACAGGGGGTTGCCTCCACATGGGGAATATGATCCTAGATTTCGGTGTTAGTGGTAATATTTCGGTCACCTGGGAAGCCAGAATATTGCCACCATCACCGAGATCGGGATCGTCTTCCCTCGGTGGAGGCACACCGCCGATCCTGATGTTGGTGTCAACCTCTAGGCCTGCGAAGGAGAGCCCAGGTTCGAATCGATAAGTCGGATCGGCAATCGACACGATTCGGATCGGCGGAACTCGGCAGCCGAGCCGGAAAACATAGAGTCGGCGGACATCGGCAGGCTTGCATGCGTCCAGGTGAGAAATCGGAGCCCAAATCGGAATCCTGAGTCGAATCGAATCGGACTCGGAATCCATCGAAATCGACTCGAATCGAATCGGGGGAATCGAAATGAGCCCTGGCAGGGGGTGCAAAGAGAGGAGGGTCCTGCCAGAGTACTCTCGGCACCGGACCTCGGTATAGCTTGAGCCAGCTGAATCGGTCCACAGACGAGGAGGAGGAGACGCCGCGAGCTCGCGTGCGGCAGCGCGGGGGCGAGGTCTGGAGCACTCCGGCGCAGCGGAGCGTCTGCTGTCTGCTCGCAGCGCTCACTCCCATGGAACGACGCGAAGATCGGGACAAAATCGGATCGGGATAACTCGAAATCTCTGAGAATCGGCGGGTTTGGAGGATGTATTGGGCGCCGCGGCCGCTCCAGAGCGTTCCGGAACTCTCTGAGAGCGCTCCGGAACGCTCTGGAGCGAGTTATCCCGAATCTAGCCCTGTTTTAGACTCCCGCCGCCTCGCAAGCACACTCGCTCGCCAAGGGGCCAACCAGAGCCGGCTGCGTGTCGGACAGTCTCTGCTTTGGGCGGGGGGGGGGGGGCAGCTTTACGCATGAAGTGCGGGACAGCCGGTGCAGCGGCTGGATAAGGGGAGCGCGTGCAGATGCGAAGCGCTGGCAGATCATGTCGACAGCATGGGCAGGATACATCGCGACAAGGGCAACGCATCAGGCGAGAGTGACTAGCAACGCCTGGTTCGACAGCCAGAGAGGGAGATGAGTGAGGCTAGCAGAAGCAGGCGGGCAGGAAGAGGTGAAGTGATGAGGACGAGGGGATGCCCGTGAGGGGGATGGGCAAGAGCAAGTGAACGAGGGAAGAGCCGCTCTGGGAGAGGATGCCAGAAGATGCAGGATAACGAAAGATACAGGAGGATGCATGCATCGTCCGCCGTCGTTTGATCCCAGGCGATTTGAACAGCAATCGCGACCGAGAGTTGGAATTACACCAGAGGTGAGCCATGGCAAGGAGTGACAAAAAGGAGCAGTGAGGAATGCATGGCTACACCGATAAGAGCTAATACCGCGCTTCTGGCGATGAGATTACTGGGGGAAGGGTGCAACATTCGAGCTGCGATTGGTTGCGCGCTGGAGTGGCGACTTACCCAATATGTCCTCATGTGCTCCCCGACATTCGGACCATTACAATTAAGTTCACAGGTCTAGCTCTTATATACCGTTTAGCTTTCCTAAGACATCGGGGTCGCCCCACACCTCACCGAACACATATACCTCGTGCCGAAGGATATCGATTATCACTCCACCCCACCCTACCTCCAATATGTGCAACTACATACCTCTCTCTCACTCTGTGCCTCTCCCTCCCTCTCTCCCTCCCTCTCTCCCTATCTCTCTCCCCCTCTATCTTTCTGTATCCCTCTCTCTCTCTCTCTGACTGTTTCATGTTGTTGTTCTCTCTCTCTCTCTCTCTTCCTCTCTCTCTCTATACATGTATGTGTACATATCCCCCCCCGTTGTTTTCAGTTATGCATATAGGATTAAGTGTTTGTGTGTGTGATGTTGATATGCCTCCTTCTCTCTATATATCTCTATATATATGTATGTATATACATATATATATATATATGTGAATCAGTATCTACATTTATATTCACGTGCTCATACAGCCATGACCTCAGGACAACCACCGGACAACGGCGGAACAGCCCTGGGGACAGCGAGGCGGGCAACGCCTTGCTGTGGGAGGATGTCGCACAGCCTCGCCTCGCCCGCACTCACGACACGAACCGCAACCGAAATCCGAATTCCTGGCGGGGAGAACTCCGTTTGACTTCGGTCGCAAGCCCGAACTCTGATCGACTGAATGCCAGAGCACGCCCCACCTTTTACGCCGCTGGAGGCTCCCGCGTGAGTTCTCTTGGCCCACGGCAGCCCCGGACTGCAAGAATTCAGAACTATCGTCGTGCACGTGCACCATGCAATGCTCAGAAGGCGTGGATAGCGGCAGCTGGGAAAAGAGCACGCGTCCAGGGGGGGGACCGCCTGAGATGGTGGAACTGCGAATCGGGAGGGTGTGGAGAGGTCGCACCTCTTCATCCTCCCCCAAGCCTCCTGTGCTTCAGCCTCTTCCTGGCTACGTCAGCATTCCGGACCAGCGCGCGGTTGATCTGGTCCCTGTGGTGAGAGTCCCTGAGCTCCAGGCCGAGCTTTCGCAGGGAGCAGCCCTGCCGCATGACCTCGGCCAGGGCTTTGTAGGCGGCCAGGTCCACTGGCTCGCAGAACTGGTTGTTGCAGCGCAGCTCCTCGAGAGCTGCGTTCTGGCCCAGCGACTCGAAGATGGCCTGCAGATCTCGGGGCCCCAGGAAGTTCGAGGAGATGTTCAGGACTCGCAGGACCCTGTTGCTGGCCAGGGCCGCAGCCGGCCCCCGTGCAGCACCATCCCCGCCGCTCCGCAGATTCGTGTCCTCTCTGGGGACACGGGAGGGTACTCCTGCCACTGCGCCCCCGACGTCTCCCCAGAGTTTCGAAGCGCATCCGGCCGTGGCGACGAGGGCCTTCCAGGAGGCAGCGGTATCTAGAAGAAAAAGATCTGCGCTGGGCCCCCCTCTCGCGGAGCGCGCCAGGGGCGGCGCTGGAGGCGCCGCCAGAGGGGCCAGCGCGGATCCAAGAAATGCGCGCGAAGCGCCAAAAGTTTTGTTTAAGGCGTTTTCTCTTCTTCGAGGTATGGGCACCCTTCCCTTCTCTGCTCCTCAAGCAGCAACCTCCTGAGGTGCGTGTTGCGCGCCAGGGCCACCCACAGTTTCGGCGCGATGCGGGGCTCGTCCTCCGGCAGCGGCATGGCGTACGTGGAGAAGTCGAGCTCGGTCAGCGACGGGTCGTCGAGCGCAAGGCGGTGCACCATCCACACCTCACGAGCGGCGAGCCCAGGACCCGCTCGAGGCATGACAAAAATCACGACGGGAGGTTTTCCCGTATTTTGGGGTCCCTGGGGGCCATTACCAGGCCTCGGGGCCGTCGAAAACGACTCGGGACGAAACACCAGTCCCGGGGAATGGGCCGAGACCTCCAGGGCCGGCGCTATGAACAAAACACGACGCCGGGGGTCTGGGAGCGTATCCGGATCCGAGCCCTCGCGGCCCGGATGTGCGGGGCCCGATCCCGCGGAGACGCGGTCGCGTGGCTGCGCTCCGCGCGGGGCCCCCGCGCAAAAAAAAAACACGCCCCGCACCTGTGGGATCGGGCCCCCGGGGCCCGGCCCGCGCGAGGCCGCGCATGCGGACGACTGCGCCTTTTGCCCGCGGCCACCATCCAGGTCCCGAGGTGCGGCGGGCTCGGCCCCAGGGGGCGGCCGGCGAACGGCAGCGGGATGCTCGCGAGCTCCTGCAGGCTGCTGGTGCACGAGATGCGGCCCGCCAGCGCCCGGTCGATGGTGCCGAGCGCCAGGGCGCCCAAGTGGCGCGCGTGGTTGGACTCGGCCGGCGCCCCGTCGCCGGCTTCTGCAGCGCCCGCTGCGGCACTCGCCGGCGCCTGCGCGCTGCCCATGGCGCCGTCGACGCCGGGCTGTGGACAAGGGTCTGCGTCTGCGGCTGCAGCCTGGCTCCCGGGCCGATCCGTGCGCGGGGCTGCAGAGGCTCGTCGCTGCACGGTCTTGCCGAAGCGCGCCGCCAGGGCGAGCACGCCAGCGGCCGCGCAGCCCTCGTCTGCGCAGCCGTCGGAGGCGCCTTCGCTCTCGCAGGCCCGGGCAGCCTCGACAGGCTTCCAAGCTCCAGAGGGTAGCTCCACGTTCTGGCCGTGGCCCTCTCCTTCGCAGCCGTTGGTGGTCGTATCGCCCTGGCAGCCCCTGGCGGCCTCAGCAGCCCTCCAAGCTTCAGGGGCCAACTCCGCATTCCGACCGTCCACAGATACACCTGCTCGAACCTGCTCGTCCACTTCGGCACAAGGGCTGTCGACGGCGCCGAGGCGCGCTTCGCCCTCGCAGTCCCTGGCGGCCTCGACAGGCATCCAAGCTCCAGGAACCAGATCCGCATTCTGACCGTCCGCGGTTGCACCTGGTCGACCCTGCTCGTCCACTTCGACACCAAGAGTGTCGATGGCGTCGATGGCTGCCTCGGGGCACTCTACCACAGAGTCCTCGCTGCGCGCTGGGCTGGCTGCGGGGGCACCTGCCCGGCCGCGTGGCCATGGCCCCGGGCTTCTTGTGCTAATCTGAGAGTCGCCGTTCTGCTCCTCGTGGCACTCGACCACCGAAACTTCGCAGCCCGCCGGGCTGACCGCGGCTGTGTCTGCACAGCCGTGTGGCCAAACTGTCCGGCCGGCTGCAGCACCTGGCACGCTGCACTCCTCTAGAACCTCGATCTCAGACACGTTGCTACCTGCTGGGCTTGCCGGAGCTTGCTCGGCCGAGCCCCCGGCCGCGCCCTGGCCGCCCGGTGGCTCCCCCAGCGGGTCCGCCATCAGCATCCTCACGATCCGCATCAGCGGTCGCCCTGCATCCGGGGCACCACCGCCTGGCGCGGCCGCCGCATCTGGGCCTCGGGCCGCGTCGTCATGCCAGTCGAGCACGGTCCTGTCTGCAAAGTGGTCGTCCTGCTCCCGCCTCCCCGCGCCAGCAGCACTGGCAGGCTCCCACGAGTCCACCTGGGCGCGTACCTCGGGGGTGGACGGAGCCCCCTTTAGCACAACGCCCTTTAGTGAAAAAGCTGCCAGGGACACTCCACGTGTGCATGGCACCGCATTCCGAGTGGACCCAGGCGGGGTAGCTGATCGACGTTCAAAAACAGGCGAATGTATATGGCGAGACGCACGTCGATTGGCGAAGCTGACCCGTGCCTGCACCGGTACACTCGAGGGCCGATGTCGAGTAAACGTTTGCAGAATTCCTCAGCTTAGCTGCCCCGATACGCAACACGCAACCGGTAGCGTGTTGACGCGGAGCTCGACACGCAGATTGAAAAGTATGTCTGGCGCGATACGTTCGCCAAAGCGCGGGCCAACAAGTGCGTGAGACGTGTTGACCACGGTACGTATTGAGTTCAAACACCTGCGTATCAGGGCAGCTGAGTTCCTCAGTTGACTTCTCTGGGAGGGCGTTCTCTCAATGCCTGGGTACCGCCTCCACGACAGCCTGCATCGCCTTCCTCGGGGCCTGCGGGCCACATGCTGCTGGTGCGGCTGCTCGCGGGCTCCGGGGACGCGGGCGCGCGTCGGCCAGACTGCCAGACAGCCTGCTCGTGGACACCGCGAACGAGATGGTGTTAGGAGGCAACCCCTGGGAGTTGTCTTGATAACAATTACGGTCGGGACCTTCTGCTTAGCGTGTCGCCGCGGCGGCCCCGGCGACACGGTATGCTCTGCGAGTGGATGGCGCGTAAGGCTCGGGACGATGAAGCCTGGGGGCTGGGAAGTGGATAGCGTGTCGCGCCGAAGCGCGGTGGGCCAGAATCGGCGGAGCGACACGGTATCGAAAAGTTCCCGACCGTAACGGTTATTCAGCCCAACTCGTGGGCAATTAAGCCGGATTTGGCCAGACCAGGCCCAGGACTGAGCCGGACGAAGCGGGATGATGCCGGAATAGCAGCACTACGCCGGACTCGGCGGGTTCTCGGCCACGGATATGTCAGCGCCGACGCTGAGTGTGAAATCTCCAGGGGTTGCATCCTAGATGGTGGACCCCAGCGATGCCGTGGAATCTCTGGTGGATACGCTCCGCCGGAGCTTGAACGACGTCCTCTGGTGCAGCTCTGGCTCCGAGTAGGCGGGCTCCGGCGCCGCCTTGCCGAGCACGCGCAGCAGCGCGCCGACGAGAGGCGCCTGCGGCTGAGACTGAGGAGGCTGGGCGCTGGCGACGCTCTCGGCTGCCAAGGGCTCCTGGGAAAACCAAGAGGTACCGATGCCGCTTCTCATTTGACCTTGCTGAATTGAACAGGGACCGATCCTCCCAGCATTCCTGTAGGCCTACCACGACCATTTCCTAAAGCTAAAAAGCGCTCCCGAAACAAAACGCATGTTGTTGTATTAGTGAGCCAAATTTGCTAAAACAAGACTACGTCCGCCAGAAACGTACATACTTTCGTGCAGGCCACGAGAGGTTCTGAAAATAGTGCTTCGTTGGCGTACAGGAAAGCCACAGAAGGCTTCGCCACTGCGTCACCCAGGTCACCCAAACAACGCTCTGACCATAATCTTAATTACAAGGCGAAGCCCGCCGAGGCGACGGGGGCCTTTTCCAGGATACCCCCAAAAAAGCGAACACGAGGGAATGGTAGTGGTATCGGTACTCCAGATTTCGTAATAAAGGGAGGGGGTCTCATTTCGGGGGGGGTCTCTTCCAGGCCATCTTGGAGGGCCTGGGGGGGTCTGGGGACGACGTTTTGGAGGGTTCTCCCACGGGGGGGGGGTCTGAAATGGCTTGTCTTGGAGGGTCCAGACCCCCTCCCTTTTATTACGAAATCTGGAGTACCTGCTCCTCCTGTGACTCCCCCCGCTTTCGGGTCACAACTCCGTTCTCTGGCGGCCGTTCGGGACGTTCCGGGCACCCCGGGAACGCTTTCGGCGAGGCGCAGCCGCTCGAGAGCATCCCGGGGCTCGAGAACCGCCATGAACCGACGACAACCTTCGAATACCTTCAAAAACATTCGAAAACCTTGGAAAACCTCCGGAACTTTCGAAAACCTTCGAAAGTCTATGTATGAAAACATGAGAAAGCTGTCGAAAACCTTCGAAAACCTCCAGGAACCTTCAAAAATCTTCGGAACCCCCCGAAAACCTGCGAAAACCTTCAAAACCTTCGAACGTTTCTGAAAACCTGCAAAACCCTTAGAAAACCTCCGGAAAGCCTCAAAAAGCCTCCAGACACTTTCAAAAACCTTAGAACACCTTCGAAAACCGTCGAAAACCCTTGAAAAACCTTTGGAACCCATCAAAAGACCTTCCGATGATCTTCGAAGACCTCCGGAAACCTTCGAAGACCTCCGAGAATCTTCGAAGACCCTCCGAGAATCTTCGAAGACCCTCCGAGAATCCTCGAAGACCTCCGGAAACCTTCGAAGACCCTCCGAGAATCCTCGAAGACCTCCAAAGACCTTCGAAGACCCTTCCAAAACCGTCGGAAACCCATGAAAAACCTTCGGAAACCTTGAATCAAAACCCTCCGAGAATCTTCGAAGGCCTCCAGAAACCTTCGAAGACCTCCGAGAATCCTCGAAGACCTCCGGAGACCTTCGAAGACCCTCCGAGGATCTTCGAAGACCTCTGGAAACCTTCGAAGACCCTCCGAGAATCCTCGAAGACCTCCGAAGACCTTCGAAGACCCCCCGAGAATCCTCGAAGACCCTCCGAGAATCCTCGAAGACCCTCCGAGAATCTTCGAAGACCTCCGAAAACCGTCGAAAACGCTTGGAAAAAACCATTGAAAACCATTCGAAAACCATCGAAAACCATAGAAAAACCATCGAAAACCATCGACAAACCGCCGGAAACCCTTGAAAAACCTTCGAAGACCTTCCAAAACCATCCGAGAATCCTCGAAGACCCCCGAAGACCTTCGAAAACCCTCTGAGAATCCCCGAAGACCTCCGAAGACCCCGAAGACCCTCCGAGAATCCTCGAAGACCTCCGAAAACCGTCGAAAACGCTTGGAAAAAAAACATTTGAAAAACTCTCGGACGCCGTCGAAAACCATAGAAAAACCATCGAAAACCATCGAAAAACTGCCGGAAACCTTTGAAAAACGTTCGGAAACCTTCCAAAATCCTCCGAGAATCCTCGAAGACCTCCGAAGACCCTCGAAGACCCTCCGAGAATCCTCGAAGACCTCCAGAACCCTTCGAAGAACCTTTGAAAACCGTCGGAAACTTTGAAACCCTTGAACAAACCGTCGGAAACCCTCGAAGACCCTCCGAGAACCTTCCCGAACCCTCCGAGAATCCTCAAAGACCTCCGAAGAATCTTCGAAAAACCTTAGAAAAACCCTCGAAGACCCTCCGAGAATCCTCGAAGACCTCCGAAGACCCTTCGCACCCCTCGGAGCTCCGCGTGCGGCCCCGGCTGCGGCCCCTCGCGGGCGCCGCAGGAGGCCGAGGCCGCCCCAGCGGCGCGCTCCGCCTGGCGGTCTGTCGGGCGCGCCCCCCCTGCAGGGGGATTTTCGACGAAAAGCACAAAACAAGAACAAAAAGGTTAGAAAATAGTCAACAGATCGTCCCCAGACCATGCCTGGACTATTTTTTCGATTTTCGGAGAATATTTTCTACTCTTCGGAGAAAGTCCCCCCTACAGGGGGATTCTCGAGGACAAATACAAAAAAAACCCAAAGATACCCCAGAAAGGTAAGACAATAGTCACAAGATCGTCCCCAGACGATGTCTGGACTATGTTTTGGCGCGTCCCCCTACAAGGGGATTTTTCGACGAGAAATACAACAAAAACCAAAGATGCCCCAGAAAGGCAAGAAAATACTCAAAAGATCGTCCCCAGAGTATGTCTGGACTATGTTTTGGCGTGTCCCCCTACAGGGGGGCTTCGACGAAAAATACAAAAAAAATCAGAGCAAAAAAACAAAACAAAACCTAAGATACCCCAAAAAGGTTAGAAACTACTCAAAAGATCGTCCCCCGACCATGTCTGGACTATGTTTTGACGACTTGTGGGGGGTATGTTCTATTCTTCGTCAAAGCATCCCCCCTGTAGGGGGGATTCTCGAGGAAAACAATTCAAAAAATACCCCAAAGATGCCTCCAAAAAGGTAAGAAACTGACCAAAATATTGCCCCCAGACTATGTCTGGACTATTTTTTTGGCGTGTCCCCTACAGGGGGACTTTCGACGAAAACTACAAAAAAAATAAAAGATACCCCAGAAAGGTCGGAAAATATTCAAAAAATCGTCCCCAGACCATGTCTGGACTATTATTTGACGATTTGTGGGGGGTATGTTCTATTCTTCGTCTACAATCCCCCCTGTAGGGGGACAAGCCCGACTTAGACCTGGCGCGGCGCGGCGCCCTCCGGGCTGCGCGGCGCCAGGGTGGCGCGCCGCGCTGCTGCCGCCACGCCCGAGGCCGCGGCGGGGCCCACGACCTGAGAGCAACCACAACAGAGCCACAGAGGCAACCACAAAATAAGAACCAGCAACTAAAAAAAATAGCAAAACCATACATATAAACAATACATTAAGAAAGCTGCACGAGAAAGAACCGTCAACTAAACAACAAATGAACAATAAGCATAAAACATAGCAACGGAACAACATCACAACATAAGCACAACATAACAACATAACAAAAAACATAACAACCACACCATAACAACACAACAGCATAATCATCAACATAAAAAAAACACACATACACAAGAAGCATAAGCGATATTAACAAACAAACTACACAAGCAGACAACAAACGGCAACACAAAAACGGAACATAAAAACCCAGGGTCTGGAAGCCGCCTCCTCCTCTCGGCGACACGCAATCGGGTGGCCTCGGGTGCGCGGCTTTCGGGGGCCGCGGGGTGGCCAAAGCCGAGCGCGCAGGCCAAGTGCTGGGGGGACCCCTGTGCACCCGCACCAAAGGTCATTCCGGCGAAGGGCCACTCCTACGCGTAGCCCCTCCTCCTCGTCCTCCTCCTCCTCCTCCTCCTCCACCCCGTCCTCCTGCTCCTCCACTTCCTCCTCGTCCTCCTCCTCCTCCTCCTCTTCCTCCTCCTCCTCCTCCTCTTCCTCCTCCTCCTCCTCCTCCTCCTCCTCCTCCTCCTCCTCCTCCTCCTCCTCCTCCTCCTCAGGCGCCGGAGGAGGAGGCGGAGGAGGAGACAACGGAAACGGAGAAGTTTCCGACGAGGCTTGCAATGACGAGTTCTGAAGGCGTCTTTTGCGGATCCTTCTCAGCAGGCTCGGGTGTCGGGAGCGGTGGACGGTCGGACGTTTCGGACGTTTGGGCGTTCCGGGCGCACCTCTGGCAACACCCGGCGGGGCCCGCCATTCTGGCGCTTCGACCAAGACTCGCAAGTAGAGGAAAGAAGCGGGGAAGCCAATGGAACTCCAAGCGTGGATTGGCCATGGATATCGCTGCCATCCTCATCAGGAAAGGAGCTATCCCAGGTCTGCAACCTCCTGGGCACACTCCAGAACCAACGCCCCTGTCCGTACCAGGATTTTGGCGCGAGTCCAAACGTGGCGTCGGTGGAAGGGTAGCGAGCGGCACGGCGGGGGCACGCTTTTTTGTTACCTCTCTCCGCGTCCGAAGACTTGCACGCATCAGAGGATTCACGCTGGTGGCCCTCGCGCTATCGGCACGTCGCCAACTCCCCGCCTGTCAACGCGCACGCTTGTGGCCCTGGCATGCCTGGCGGGTCGCCACAGCCCCAGCTAAAAATAAAAGAAGACCACGGGCCCGAGCTCTCCCGCGCAGCTCTGGCCGCTCTCTCGGCACTGGACTCGACCGCCTCGCGGCCTCGTTCGATCGCCCCCTCAGGCGACGCGAAGACATGAGACGCCCAAACTCCGTCCACCCCTGGCAGTCTGAGGGCATGCTCCCCCGTCATCGCCGAGGGACGGGGGCGGGTTGGGAGGGCCGGGCCTCCTGCCTCCTCGGCACCTGGGGCGGGGGCGGCCGCCAACAGGGTGGGCGGAAGGCCTGCTGCGACACCGCGAGCGCGCGCCCACCACGCGCGAGTCTGGGCCGAAGGCGGCGCCAGCGCAATGGGCTGCCCTTTGCCGCCCCAAGGAACGATGCCTTTGGGGATGCCATTGCGGGCCCGGGCCATCGAACCCTTCTTGGAGCGACCCGTAGCTACAGAGTAAGGTTTCGCCTGGCCGCGAAAAGCATAGCGAGGCTGCCAGCGGCGCGCGAAGCAGCGCGTGGCCAAGCACCTTTGCCTTCATGAGAAGATGGCCCTGGGCCGACCCTGGCCCGTCAAAGGCCTCGGCCCCGCCGGGGGGGGGCGCCGCCGCAGCCGCGGACGAGACGGACGAGCTGGGGGAATCGCCCCGCCCAGGCTGCAGCACAGAGCTATCGGTGCAAGGCAGGGGCACTGCTGCCGCAGGACGTTCGCGAGCGGTCCGCCGCTCGGGGCTTCCAGCACATGGCACTCAGCGCACTGCCTCCCGCACTCGCGCGCGCCGCCGCCACCGCCGCCGCCGCCGCCGCAGCCGAAGCCGCAATCGCGCCAGCGGCGGCGGCCGAGACCTCGGCTCTACCGCGGCAGAAGGGATCTCCCCCAGCAGCTGGGCTGCGCTGCACGCGGGGCTCCAGGTCGAGGCCCTCTATAGCCTCCAGGGACCGGGCACCGCGCAGGCCCTAGCTGGCGACGTGAAACTTCCATCTTCGCAGCGAACCTGGGAGCGCCCCCGGCACTGACGAGGCGCCCCTCCAGCACGGGCACCCAGTCGCCCCCTGGCGCCCGCAGCTTGCCCCCCCCATTGGCCCGCGCATCTGCCAGCCTGTTAACGTGCAGCTGGGGCATGGCGAGTTCGCCGCGCCTGACCGCTGCCTCCGAGCGGCGGGCGGGGACGCGCCAGGCGGCAATCCCCTCGACTGCGTCGACCACCCTGGCCCAGCGGTGCGCATTCAAGCCGCGGGCACCTGGGCCCGTTGAGGCCCCGCGCTGACCCGACGGCGCCCGCGCAGTCGACGAGCAGATTGCAGTTGCCGATGATCTCCGCGAGGGCCACCGCCACCGCGTAGTCTTCCCTGGCCCGCGCCGTCTGGGAGGGCAGCAACTCCGGGGAACATCGTCCCAGGCCTCTGCAATGAGCTCGCCTCAGCCTCGAGCGCGCCGCGCCCGCTGGGGCTGCCACCGCGGCCACCATGTCCACGAAGAGCCCGATCCCGCAGAGCTCGCGGAAGGGCCCCCCCCAGCCTGTTGACCGTTTCGGCCGCGCGCCGCAGGTCCTGAGGCAGCCTGTCACGCCGCCGGGGCTCCCGCGCTGGACAGCGATAGCGCCCGTGGGAGACCGTGCCATCCTCTTCGCCGCGCAGCAAGCACTTCGGATTGATGTCGGATTTGTGCTCGGCCAACCTCGCCTGGGGCCAATGCGAGAGCGTGACCAAGCAGCAGAGGCAGCCGCAGTGGCGTTTCGGCCAGACATCCGTCTTCGGCTGCAGGAGGAGCACATTGATGGGCCGCCAAGCCAGCGCGAGCCGCCGCGGTCCAGGGCGTTCGCGGATCTCCACCAGCGGCGCCGCCTTTCCGGCGCCCTCGCGAGCTCTCGGCCAGGAAAGCGGGGGCGGACCTCAAGACCTCGAAAACGCAGCCGATCATTAGTGAGACTGTCCCCGTTGGCCGTCAGGCGCCGCCCTGCGTGCTCCCGGGCGAGCGCCGCGATCAGGCCCCTGACTGCAGACGAGGGCCTCAAGCAGCTGCGTAGGCGGGCGCTCTCCTGCAAGCAAGCCCCGACTGCGGCGCGGGGAGCTTGGCCCGACCAGCGCGAGCTGACGTGGGAATGCGCCGCCGTCCCTGTGGCAACCACCAGCGGGTCTTATCTCAAACTTTTCGTAGCGCACTACAAGCCGAAGCTGAGCGCCGCCCCAGGTGCAGAGCGCCCAGCACACGTCGCCGCCGCTACGCGGAGGGCCCTCATCCTGCCGCGGGGAAATGCCAGCAGCGGCCGACCCCCAAGGCGAATTGGCCGCGGGGCCCCCGCGCATGATGCGCCACTGGCATCTCCTGCAAGATCGCGGCGGCTTGACACAATGGCCGGGAGGGTCAACCGCGAGTGGTCGAGCAGGGCCCGGTGGAGATTGGCCGACGAAGCCAGCGCCTTCGTCTCGCCCAAGTCGCGCGGGAGCTTCCTGTCCTCCAGCATGGCGACCACCCCGTCCACCAGCTTGGCCATCGCCAGGACCAGCACCATGCGGGTCCCGATGCCGTGGCCCGCGACGCCATCGACCACGTTCACCACTCTCCTGACAGGCAGCATGAGCCGCGCCATGGTCGTGCAGCATGAGCCGCGCCATGGTTGCGGCGCAGGTGCAGCCTGCGACGACGGCCCCATGCACAGAGACGACCTCGCTCATCGCCCTGTCGGCCGAGGCCCGCCTCGGGCGCGAACAGGCAACGCGCAGCGCTCTCGCAAACCCTTTGATGAAGCCCTGCCCATCGGCGGCTCGCCCGAGGATGTCGCAATCGACCCTCTCGTAGAATTTACGAATGTCGACGTAGACAGAGGCGCCGCCGAAGCCAACGGACCGCGACAGCCCGAGGTTGAGGTTGCGCAGGCAGGCCGCACGGTCGCAGCGCATGTCTGAGCTCTGGCCCCAGACACTCAGGCAGCGCACGATCGGCTTCCCATCCCACGCAGCAGCGTCGCCTGATGTGGCCCCGGAAACGCAGCCACATGCGCGCCAGCCCCATCGGGCGCCGCCCACCATCGAGCTTGCCCAGGAAAAAAACATGGATGGTGGTGAAGAGATCTGATGGCCATGGATGCCTCCCCGACGCAAACAGGACCTCGGCTAGGCGTTCGGCGAACGGGCGGCCGAGGTGCGCGAGGAGCCCCGGGTGGGAGGCGTCCTAGCAGAAGGCGGTGCTCACGGGGATCGACTGCGCAAGCTCGAGGACATCGTCCGCCGCGATCGCCGGCAGCTCCATCGAGCACTCGCATGAAGCTGGTCGCACTGTCTGGCCGCGCCCAGCACCGCTCCACAGAGCCTTCCGTTCCACCCAGGTACGACCCAGCGCCTGCTGCCGGACCGGCGGCGCGCTCGGCCCCCCCGCGAGCAGCTCGCCGAGGGCGGGCGCCTCTTCACGGTGGACCTTCTCGATGACAGCATGGGCCCCTCGTCCTTGCCCCGTCAACAAACTCCGTCCAACGCTGCCTGCTGCGCGACGTGTCCGCCATGACATGGATTGCTGTCGCGGCCGCAATGGCTTCCAGGAGCCGCGGCCCTTGCCACGAATCCGCTTGCACCTCCGACGGCAAAGGTATTTTGCGCGCGGCGCTGAACATGCTGCACCCCCGCCGGGCAATCTGCGGCGCAAGTGAGAGGGTGGCGCGCCCCAATTGCCGAGCGCATGCGCCGCGGCCCGCGGGCCTACAGCCCGCCGTCGCCGTCGCCGCCAGCTGCTTCGCCAGGCGGCCCGGCGAGATCCACCGGCGGGCGAGCGAGCTGACCCCCCTCATGATTTCGGTTCTCTCCAAGTCGCCCAGGCGCTTGCCGACTCGCCTCGCCCCCTCCGCTTGCCCGACGTGCTGCTCGGCTTCCTGCTCCTCGACGTCGAACATCCTGGCCGCGCGCAGCCCAGAGACCTCGTAGAATCCTCGCGCTGCCTCATCTGGGCGGCCCGCAGCGCCCAGTGGCGGAGCCTGGCCGCCTCGTCGGCTGCCGGCTCGATCTCCTCGCCAATCTCCGCGGTGACGTCCCCGGGCGACAGCGGCAGCCGCGCTTTCGCCTGGGGCCCGAGCTGGCTGAACTTCAGGCGCGCCGGCGCGCGCGGGCGCGCCGCCGCGGGGCGCGGCGCCTCCGCCCGAGGACCCAGGGCAGCCAGCGACGCCGACATCGCACCATAATCGCACGCGCGCCCACCGCACGCGGGGGGCGCAGGCGCAAACGCCACACCCCCAACAACCCTGGGCCGCCAGGAGCTCTCGAGAGGAAGGGCCCCGCGTCCCAGTCAGCGCCGACGATGGGCGGCTCAGAGAGCTCTCCGAGGAACACCTGCAGGTTGGCACCACTGGCCCCGACGATCACCAGGTTGCCGAAGGCCGCTCTCCTCGCGACAAGCCTCGCGCGATGGGCCCCCCACTCCTGGTCCACTGCGTTGAGTCCTCGGTGCTTCGCCGCGAGAATGACCGCGCCCGACGACGCTGTCTGCGCTGCTGAACTAGCCCTGCGGAAGGGCCCGACGCACGAGACCTATGTTGCATCGCAGCAGCAAATCGGCCCCTGACTTTCGCTTTGGGTTCGGTTTAGCGAAGCGATGAATTCCAGTGCCCTTCCGCGGGAAAAACATAACTTCACGAACCTGGGGCCCCATGGGGCCTCAGTGGGCCCTGGGGCCCAAAATTAATGACGTGCTGGTTTTCGGGCCTCGAACGACGGCCGCGCGCAGTCCGTCGCGGCCCCCGCCCCTTCGCCGAGTCCTCGGCCCGTTGCGACGCGAGCGGGTCGCCCGCAGCAGGAAGACGTCGTCCGCGGCCCAGGAGGCCGTCGATGGCGGTCTGCTCCTCGGCCCAGGTGGAGCCGCTCAGCATCGCGACGCCGGCCGAAGAGGGCCGCGCCGGCGAAGACGGGGGCGCTCCGCGAGCGCGAGCCCCTGATTCTCGCCCGACTGGCGCTTGCCCAGGACCGCGGCGCGCCCCCGCGAAATGGAGGCAGGCTGCACGGGGGCAGCTTGCCCCGCTTCCACTGCGATGCCCGGGCCAGGCTCGCGTCGGCCCAGGGTCGCGGGCCACCTCCACATAGATTCGCCTGACTGAGCGGCCGCCCCCGCGCCGGCCCATCAGCGGGCCCCGCGGCGCCGGGGCCGTCGACCAGGAGCAAGTCCTCGGTGATGGGCGCGGCCGCATTGGCCAGCCCGCGCGCGAGCTCGGGGCGCGGCCTGGCCCGCGGGCCCGCGGCGCCCCGAGCGCCCGCTCTGCCCGCGGTCGGCGGCGGGCCGCGGGGGGCAGGGCGAGCAGCCGCCGGCCGCGCCTCGAGCGGGCGGGCGCGGGCGGACGCAGGCCGCCGCGGGCGGCAGGAGCTCCGCGTCGCTGTCGTCGCCGTCGATGTCACCGCCCTCAGCCGGGCAGCTGCCGGCCCGCGCCGCGCGGGCCAGTGAACGGAACGGCCCGCGCTCACGGATGGCCGCCGCCCGCCGCGATAGGGCCTCCAACGCCCCAGCCAGGTTCGCCCCGAAGCCCTGCTTGAGCAGCTCGACCTGGCGGGGGGGCCCTCCCGCCAGGCTCCCGCGGGTTGCCCGCCGAGAGAGCCGCGCCCGCTTCCCTCGCCTGCCGGCGCTCCGCCTCCACGAATGCCGCGCGCTGCCCCTTTGCTCCTTCTTGGCCTGCTCGGCCGCCTGCAGGCAATCCGCCGCGCGCTGGTGGGCCTCGCGGAGTGCCCTCGGCGCCTCGGCCAGTGCGGACTCGGTGTCCTGCAAGGCAATCTCCTCGCCGCGGACCCTTGCCTCGTTTTGCCGAGCGCGAGGCCCGCCGAGCGCAGGGCGGCTGTTTTGGGCTGCGCTGCCCGCTTGGCCAGCTGCTCCGCCCCGAGCGTCGAGCAAGCTCCTCTGCCTCGCGAGCCTCTGCCCCAGCCCCCCTCGCGTCTCCGACGAGAGGCCGACGAGCGGCCCCTGCGGGACCTCCTCGAGCTGCGCGACCTCGCGGCAGACGCCCTCGGACGGGGGCTAAGCTCCCCCTGGGGCGCTGCACTCGCTGGCGCCAGCAGCGCCCTCTGCGCCGCCCTCCCTCTGTCGTCCACAGGCAGCTCGCCGCGCCGCTGCGCGGGCCTTGCGGGCCGGAGCGCGTCCGCACCCCTGCGCTACCCAGCCGTCCGAGTCGGCGACGACCTCTGGCGGCTGGCAGCCCAAGTCAAGGGTTTTGGCTCGGCCGCGCCGACCCAAGGCGGGGCGATTTGGCCGCAGGCCCAGCACGGAAGCGGGTGCACCAGCTCCCCAACTCCACTCGCGACGCGCCGAACAGAACCCGCACTTGCTGCATCGCCCGCGCGGGGATCTTGCTGCCGCGCCCGCCAGCGGCTCGCCGTGCACCGACGGGCGCCGCGCGCCGAGTGCCCGCCGTCTGCAGAACCTCTACAGACAACGCAGCGCAACGCTTTGGCTCTTCGCGGAGCCCCCTCACGCTCAGAATCGCCCGGCGGACTTGCGGTCGTCGGCTGTTCCGATGCCTTGAACCAAAATCGTTGCGGCACGGCGAAGGCATTCCCACCTCGGACCCTGCGGGGAGGTTGCTCGCATGCAGGGGGACGCCGCGCACGGACGGCGCCCTGGAGGGACCCGCAGGAAGCCAAAGCCAAAGGCCTCGGCCCTAGCTTAGCCCAGTGGGCTAGGGGTCAACCTCCTGACATTACGGCTGACGCCTTAAGCGGATGGTTCAACTCCGCGCCGCCGGGTCCAGGTTTGACGCGTCGCATGAAACGGACGCGCGGCCCATCGCAAAGGCCGTGCCACCCTCAAAAGGGGGCAGACCACCGAAGTCTCTCCCTGGCCACGCCACGCACGCGCACCACAGACCCCATTGCGCGGCGTGGTTAACCTCAGCACCACCAGGTTACCGGCCTTACGGCTCACGCCGTACGCGAGCCAAAAAAGCTGCTTACGCACAGCGGCCGCACTCGGGCCTTCGTGGCGCTGGACTTCAAGCGCGCGGCCTGCGCGGGGAAGTCCACGTCGGAAGGCCCAGGATGGCCGCAGCCGAGGCCGTGGCGGCCAGCGGCACCGCTGCTGCGCGCCGCCAGGCCGCCCGCCGCCGTCAGGAGGAGCCGAGTCGCCAGCCGCGGCGCCGCCAGCCGGGGGCGCCACGGGCGCCAGAGCCAGCCCTGCCGCAGCCGCCTCGGAGCCCTCCTCCACGGCCGCCGTCTCCGCCGCGGGCGCGCCGAGCGCCGGGGGGAGGGGGAAGCAGCAGCCGGGGTTACCACAACCCCTGGGCCGCCGCGCGGCGCCCTCCGCTGAGGAGGGGCGTCGTCGGCCCAAGGCGTCGTTCAGCGAGTCGTCGCAGTCGATCCCCATGGCCAAGGGGGGCTGCGCCGCGGCGGCAGCAGGCGACCCGCGAGCCGCCCGCCGCGCCGAAGGGCGCGGGCGGCGGCGCCGACGCTTTGCCGCGAGAGCCTCGGCAGCCGCCGCACCGTCACCCCCAGGAGGAACTCCACCTTCACCTTGGCGCGCGCCGCCAGCGTCACCGTCGGGATTCGCGGCCACCCCGAAGAGGGCGGCCGAGACGGCGCATCGGGCCACCGCCGCGACGCTTCTCTTGCCGTCCCTCGGGCGTCCAGTTCCCCGTGCACGTTTCGGCTCCGTGCGTGTTTTTTTCTCTGGCTCGACGGTCCAGGACGGTCCCCGATGCTCCTCGCCGAGAGACAACGCACACGCCCGAGCGATGCCAAGGTCTTCCGGAGGCGCCGCCTGGCATGGCACCACGAGGTCGGCCCTCCGCGCTCGGGGGCCGAGTCGGCCGCGCCCTGCCGCCAGATCTAAGGGCAAAGGGGGCGACGTGCGGCCGCGCGAGCGCTCGAGCCGAAGCGTCGTCCGCCTCCTCTTCCGCGGACGCCTTCTGCTCCAGGCCGCCTCCCCTCCTCGGGGTGGGGGGGGGAGCCTCGGCCTCCTCCTCCTCCTCCTCCTCCTCCTCCTCCTCCTCCTCCTCCTCCTCCTCCTCCTCCTCCTCCTCCTCCTCCTCCCTCCTCCTCCTCCTCCTCCTTCTCCTCCTCCTCCCCGCTCCTTCTCGCCCCTCCTCCTCGCTCCTACTTTCCTC